GTAGGGGGGCGGGGGGTGGATGGGTGGGTGTGTAGCAGAGCAAATGCCTGCATCAGAACCAGAGCAGCAACAGGAGCCACGTTCTCCTTTAGGTGCCTGTGAATCTGCTCCGCGCTGGTCGCATCTTCGTGTTTGAGCCACCACCAGGAGTGAAGGCCAACATGCTGAGGACATTCAGCAGTATCCCTGTCTCACGAATATGCAAGGTAAAGATCACGTGTTCCTGGTGTCCTTTCTCCTAAAAACCCAAAGGATACAAAGTCCCATCACTGAATTCAGAAGCAGGTCTGTGCTTCCCAGCAAAGATATAATGAGGGATTGCACAGGCAAGTTTACTTCTGAGCTGTGGACAGATCCCTTCCTTTCAGCAGGTGGAAGTTATGTACATGGTGTTTGGTAATGGTATATGATGATTAGGTCCTAGATGAGCAGACACACCCACAACGAACCCAGTGTTGTGTCCCCAAGAGGATGGCAGGTGATCTCCTCTTCTCCCAAGCAGGGGCCCCCAGAGGCCTAGCAGAGCCCTCCGAAGTGCCAAGTAAAGACCGATACGCTTGGGCAACAGGAGAGGGGGCGGATTGTGGCAAGAATTTTGCATCAGTTCTATCTGTATTTCTTAAGTACTGTTTGATTTTGTGCCATAGTCCCCCTTTTCTGATATTTTTAGAAAATCCATCTTCTTTCTCCTATGGAATTTTCTGTTGGTTGAAAAAATTCAACAGTGTCATTGAATCACATCTTTTTTAATAGAAAAATTGGCATACTTGCTTCCTAGCAACAGTATTCGTATTAATTGGCTACTTATTAAGCCTTGAAGTTCAGGGTGGTTTCGATGTTAGTTGGTGGACGGCTCTTTTTAGAGCTTTGCTTCTGGTATAGTAGCTACACTGTTTTCTTAGAAAGAAGTGCTGCCTTCTGATGACTCTGTTCCCCTTCTAGTCTCCCAATGAGCGTGCTCGCTTGTATTTCCTGCTGGCCTGGTTCCATGCTATCATCCAAGAACGCTTACGGTATGCACCGCTGGGCTGGTCAAAGAAATACGAATTTGGAGAGTCTGACCTGCGGTCAGCCTGCGACACAGTGGACACGTGGCTGGACGACACGGCCAAGGTAAGTGTGGTCCGTGCTGTGTCAGACGTGCTTGCTGAGGAGGGAGGAAGACACACATGGAGATGTGGCAGGTCACGGTGGCAGGGTGATGGGCTCAGCTTTGGAGGAACAGGCTGACATGTTGTGGCAGACATGGGGAGTTACCTGTTAGACATGAGGGTAGGGGAGGAAGCTGCACCTCCCATGCCACCCGTGCCTAGCCCAGCCCTCCCTCACAGGGCAGGCAGAACGTCTCGCCGGATAAGATCCCATGGTCCGCGCTGAAGACATTGATGGCCCAGTCCATTTATGGCGGGCGTGTGGATAATGAGTTTGACCAGCGTCTGCTCAACACTTTCCTGGAGCGTCTGTTCACGACCAAGAGTTTTGACAGTGAGTTTAAGCTGGCATGCAAGGTCGACGGGCATAAAGACATCCAAATGCCAGATGGAATCAGGTGCGCAGCTGCCTTCTGGGATGGAGATAGTGGTGACGTCAGGGGGCATCTGGCCTCTGTGTAGGGCAGCCCCTAACACTGTTTCCAAATGTGCTGGTTTTCCAGGCGAGAGGAGTTTGTGCAGTGGGTGGAGCTGCTTCCTGACACACAGACGCCCTCCTGGCTGGGCCTGCCCAACAACGCTGAGAGAGTCCTCCTCACCACCCAGGGTGGGTAGCCAGGGAACAGCTCCTGAGACCACCGGCGTTCCCTGCTGGGTTCTAGCCACTCCTGATTGCACTCCTAGGGGAGGCCAAGAACATCATCAGCTCAAATAGGTGTCTTCTCTGCATCGCAGACTCAATTCTGGAGAAAAAGCTGGATGTTATGTAAATGAAGTCCAGAAGTTGCATTTAGATTCTCATCTTACATTCAAAAATAGTTACTTTTAGGGCCAGCCTGTGGCTCACTTGAGAGAGGGTGGTGCTGACAACATCAAGTCAAAAGTTAAGATACCCTTACCGGTCATCTTTTTTTAAAAAAGGTACTTTTTTTCTTCTTCAATCAGTTGAAAAGCACCTGGTAGACATTAAAGAGATTTTAAAACCATTAGTCTCTTTCCTAGAGTACATTTTTTATCAGTCTTTTTTTCTTTTCACTTATGAGTTGTCATTCAAGACTATTCAAGGACTTTGAGCCAGAACAGAGCTAAAACATCACCTAATCAATGGTTCTCCAAGCCTGGCTCCCCAGACCAGCCCTATCAGCCTCACTTCTTAGAAACGCACATTCTCAGGCCCTGTCCTGGACCTGCTCAGTCAGAGTTGGGGAGGGGAGCACCCGTCTGCTCTAGCAAGTCATCCTCCAGGTGACTGTGTGCACGTTTGAGAACCACTGATCTAATCTAAAATTTGTTTATGGGGAAAAACCCAGAAAAGACAAGAAATTTGCTCAGGTTCATGCAGCTAATTAGTAACACAGTATCGACTTGTCCCAGACTGTCTCTTCGGTGCTATGAAGAGAGCTCCTGGATGCGGGGCTTGCCTTTTGGCTGAGCTGGCCTCAGGTGCCAGATGAGACTTCCTGTGAGGAGGCAGTGTCTGCATAGAGCGCATTCTTGCCACGTGGCTTTGGGGTTCCCAGCTGAGCTGATTATTCAGGATGAGAAGTTGGGATGGTTAACAGTTAAGTCATGTGGGTCTGGTGAAGGAGGGCTTGAGGTCTGGGGCCAGGAGGTTTCCAGGAGCTTGGGTAGGTGTGTTATCTTCTACAGGGTTCGTACTGCAGTTGGTGCTGGGTGTCGCTTGCCGTGAGCCATGACTTGGCCTCTGCAGCTGGGTCCCTGTGAATGCCCCACCCACAGCAGTGATGGTGCCCAAGGCTTGAAGAGCCTATGTAACTGGGGAGCTCTGCCTCCATGCAGTCAAGCCTCCAGGAGGCAGTGCTGCTCAGGAACTGACCATTGGCACCTTCTGGGTAAGGGACAGGGCCACACCCAGGGGATGGGCAGAGTCCTGGAACACTGGAGGCACCTCATGGTTTAGGGTAGCCCTAGCCACACAGTGTTCAGAGGTATCCCCTCCCAGGGCCCCTTGGCCCCAGAGCCCCTCTCTTACTCGTGCTCATTCATGGAGGGCACCAGAGCAGGATCAGGCTGCAGGATTCACGGTGGACTCGGGAGTCGTGAAGAAGCCTCACCCCAGTCTCTGGACTCAGGACACTGGTTCAGCTTTAAGAGTCAGGGACTTGACCTGGTGACAGTTTTTTCTGTATTTGTCTCCTTACCTTTCTGGCCAGGCCATTTCCTGAATTTAGATATAGGCACCAACTTAGTAGCTTTCGGTCGCTGTAGGGATTCTATGTACACTTGTCATGTGGTCTTTACATTCATGTCCTTTCTCCTCCTTGGTCTCCTGCCCACCCGCCCCCTGTCCACATGCCTCTCTGGGATTGTGGCCCAGGCGTGGACATGATCAGTAAAATGCTGAAGATGCAGATGCTGGAGGATGAGGATGACCTGGCGTACGCGGAGACTGAGAAGAAAACGAGGACTGACGCCACGTCCGACGGGCGTCCCGCCTGGATGCGGACACTGCACACCACCGCGTCCAACTGGCTGCAGCTCATCCCCCAGACACTGAGCCACCTCAAGCGCACCGTAGAGAACATCAAGGTAGCCGCACAGGCGCGTGTGCTTGCGGTGGGCTCAGCCAGGTCATCTGTAGCGAGCGCAGCGAGCTGTGGTTTCCAAGCAGGCGGGGCCAGATGGGTGAGCCCTTGTGAAGAGTCGCAGAATACTGTAGAAGGCTGCTCTCTTCTGTGAGATAGGTAAATGGCTTTACAAGGAAGCGGCAGCAGCCCTTCCATGGAGAGTCGCTAGTGGGCAGGCAGGGCTGTAGCGGTTCTGGCTGGCTCTCACTCACGAGGTCTGTCGTGCACTGGGGGAAGCTGCTGCTGATCAGAGACAGGCTGCCAGTTCTGGGTGGCCAAGGCTGAGTTACTTGACTGCTTCTGTTTTCTGCTGGAGAATTCTCTTCTCTTCATTGTGGCTTGATCTCTCTGAACAATGTAGGATCCTTTGTTCCGGTTCTTTGAGAGAGAAGTGAAGATGGGAGCCAAATTACTTCAAGACGTCCGCCAGGATCTTGCTGACGTCGTCCAGGTGTGTGAAGGAAAAAAGAAGCAGACCAACTACCTGCGCACACTTATCAACGAGCTGGTGAAAGGTGCGTTAGAGATTGGATTTAACATGTGGGCCTCCCGTGGGTGCCGGCGAGCTCAGCACCAGTGTGGCCAGGCCTTTGTCAGACCCCCAGGTGCACACCGTTGCTCCTGTGTCTCCTGCTCAGAGCACTGATGTGCTCTGTAAACCACACATGATGACTAGGCCCTGGCCAGGCCTCCCTCTGAGAGCAGCTCGGTGCTCTTACCCTCAGGGGCGCAGAAGGAGGCCTTAGAAATTCCTGAGAATGCTGAATCACTTAACATTGACTAAAATCTTTATGCAACTTCTGTGGTGTTTTAGGGCTCTTCCAAGACAGTACATAGGGATCGTGGTGGTCCTGGTCCAGCAGGGGCTGGTGGTGGGTTGGGACTGCCAAGATCAGGGCTGGACCCAGACAGAGGACAAGCAGGGACAGGGCAGGCTGGGGGGCTTGAGTCAGAGGTGCAGGGAGCCCCTGGGATTCTCCTACTGGCCCCAAGACCCCAAATTGCCTGGAATGCTGAGCCACTTGTGTTGTGAATTTTTAGCTGTGGTTTTACTTGGACATGATTAGGGTCTTCCAAATTCACAAGAAGTGGCACTGGTCTGGGACACACTGGGCCATCTGAGTGGAGAGTGATACAGAGGGATAGGCAGCTTTTAGGGGCAGAGATGCAGCAGGAAGAGAGGTGGCCAAGGTGTCATTGGCTTCGTGTGTGTGGGTGCAGCTTGGGGCATGGGAGCACCTGTAGGCTCATCCCCGTTTATACCAGGGGCATCATCAGAACAGACACCAAGCCCTGGGGTCTCTGTGCCTTGCTTGCAGGGATCTTGCCTCGGAGCTGGTCGCACTACACAGTGCCTGCCGGCATGACCGTCATCCAGTGGGTGTCCGACTTCAGCGAGAGGATCAAACAGCTGCAGAACATCTCACTGGCTGCCGCATCTGGCGGTGCCAAGGAGCTAAAGGTGGCAAAAGACGTTTTTGAAAAGCGGGTGGGGGGTTCAGCTGTCCCAGGCTTGGGTGGAGCTGCATGGTCCTTTGAAAGCTCTGGGGCCAAGCACAGGGCCCAAGACTGACCCAAGCTCCTCCCCGGTGGGCGCTGCTTCTTCCTGCAGAACATCCATGTGTGCCTGGGTGGCCTGTTTGTGCCCGAGGCATACATCACCGCCACCAGGCAGTACGTGGCCCAGGCCAACAGCTGGTCCCTGGAGGAGCTCTGCCTGGAAGTCAATGTTACCACCTCTCAGAGTGCTGCCCTCGATGCCTGCAGCTTTGGGGTCACAGGTGAGTTGAGTCTCACAGAAAAGACTCGGACTCGGCCACTCTGGCTTGATTCTTCTCTGAAGGTCACCCTCCTGCACCCGGGCCTCCTGCTCAGCAACCTGACTACCCACGGGTGGCTCTGGTGGTCCTAGATGATTGTTGCAAAATGAACGTGTTTCCAGTGACCAGCTGGTGACCCTCTAGAGCTGCCCAGTTTCTCAGCCTGTCAGGGCCCCATGCAGCTGTGCGTTCACCCCAGACTGGGCTCTGGCCTCTTCCTTGCAGGGTTGAAGCTTCAGGGGGCCACATGCAACAACAACAAGCTGTCGCTGTCCCACGCCATCTCGACCGCACTCCCCCTGACACAGCTGCGCTGGGTCAAGCAAACCAATGCCGAGAAGAAGGCGAATGTGGTAAGTGGCCACCCTCCTTCTCCGGGGTCAGGGAGGTGCCCACGGGAGTCTCATTAGCTACCGGGATGGAGTCGTCTCTCCATCTCTGTACCTGAGGTTCTGCTCATAACTGGAAATCGGCTTCTCCCTATTGCCAAAGTCACCGTCTGCTGCCTCTTGGCAACAGTCTCGGTGTGCTTGCCTTTCCCTTAAGTCAGCAATAAACACCTCTGCTGTTCCTCTTTCAGGTGACCTTACCTGTCTACCTGAACTTCACCCGTGCAGACCTTATCTTCACTGTAGACTTTGAAATTGCCACAAAGGAAGATCCTCGCAGCTTCTACGAGCGTGGTGTTGCGGTCTTGTGCACAGAGTAAAACTAAACTTTTGTAGTTTCCCCTTTCTGTAATAGTAAAATCCAGTATTTAACACTTATTCATTATTAGAATGTTCGGAAGAGATGAAGTCATGAAAAGAAAGTGGTTGGTTTGAGGTTGGAGGAGACTGAATGGAGTGATGGTTGGGAATGGTGGAAATTGGAAAGATACAAGGACGTGTTTTTAGGGGGTTGATGGCATGGTTTGTTTTATGAAATAAAACACTAAGTATGACCTGGCTCCCATCTCTTCTGTCTCAGCTTTGGTCTGGGGGCAGGGAGCCCCTGGGTCCTCACCCAGCAGACATCCGGCTGGGGGCCGGATTTCCCGGGGCCACTCTCAGCCTCCCTCAGGCCCCTTGCTTTTTAAAATTTTTTTCCCCTTTGCCCCAGGATGGTACAGAGATCGAACCCTGGACCTTGGTGTCGTCAACACGAGCTCTCACTGACCGCTAATCAGCCGCACCCCTGCCATTGCTTTTGTCATGAGCATTTCAGGGAGAGCAAGCCCCACTCTGGGGAGCCACAGTGCTCATGAGTTAAGAGCCTGGGGACCCTTCACAGACACAGAGACCGCCAGCCCCGCTCCATAGTCACCAATTCCTGAGGCCTGACCCAAGCACCTTGTGGATTGGCTAGAGGCCTGGACTCGGCACAGCCCCGGACTTGGCACAGCCCCTCGAGGTGGAGCCCAGCAGTGTTTTCTCCTCCACAGACAAGGATGTTGCTGGCCTCATCCGCTCTGCCGCCGGCCCTCTCAGCCCTGGCCTATTCACCCCCAGAACTCCAGCATGGTGACTTTGGAGTGGCTCACACAACTGACTGCCTTTCGTGCTCACCTGGAGGGGGTAGCAGGGGTGGTCCATGTGCAGAAACTGGTTTCTGGGCTCTCGGTGTCTTTCGAGACTTCCTGGGGTCAGTTGGGAATAGGCCCAGGCTTTCTCACAGGCCACATGGGCCACCCTCGACCTGGTGAGCGTGAGCAGGGATTGGTCACTAGCAGAGTGATGGTCTGAGTCCACTCTAAGTGGACACTCAGCCTCCACCCCACCCTCAGATGGCGTCTGTGGAGCATCCAGGCTAGAATCAGTGCAGCCTCCCCACCGGCTCTGGAATTTCCCACAAGGGATCCCCTAGGTGGCTGGATTGCAGTCCAAAATTATTTGACTAAAATGCGGGCCCTTTTAGGTTTTTCTCTGCACCAGTAAATAAGGTTTCTTGGCATTTCTCCTATCCAAGTACTAACTAGGCCCAACCTTGCTTAGCTTCCAAGATCAGACACAGTTGGGTGTGTTCAGGGCGGTGTGGCCGTAGACCTGGGCATTTCTGCAGCAAGAGTGGTGAGCCAAGCTGCAGGCTCTGCCCAAGAACAGCTGGGACCGTGCCCGTGACGGTGAGGAGAGCCCACAAAAGACACATTCTCACCCAAGTCTAACATCCCCACCCTTTTTACAGGTGAGGGGCATGAAGTGGTATGGTGACAGAATAAGGTTTTAGGAGCACAGAGAAGGGCTCTGTCTCAAAGCCCCAAAGGCCACCCCAGGCTGGGAAGGGAACGCAGGGCAAGCTCCCAAGATGTGGGAGTGGAGTTGACCCTGCCTGAAAGTCAATGAGCAGAAGCAGCCCCAGCCTTGGGACACACCACTGAGGGCCACCTGGGAAGGGCGCAGGTAACCCAGGTCCAGGATGGAGCCTTCCCAAGGTCAAGGGCTTCCACATGGACACCCCGAGGAGCACCAAAGGCTTTTCCTTGCTGCCTGCAAACCTAACACTCCACCGACAACGCCCAGGTCCCAGGGTCACCTCATCCCCAGCTCTTTCCACGGGGACTGTGGGGGCACACCTGGGAGCGGCAGGCCCACCCACTTGCCCTGAGGCCAGGAGGGCCCGGCTGAACAGTCCACCAGCCCCACCTGTCCTCGCCTGGCAGAAAGGGTCAGCAGGGCTGTACCCATTGAGGGGCCTGGGGGAGCTGCCCGAACAGAGCACCTCCCGAGGGGCCAGTTCACAGCCCAGGAGGCAAAGGCGGCCAGGGCTCAGGAGGCAGCGCCCCACCAGGATGAACAAGCAGCTCCTCAAGGTGGGCAACCCTTTTATTGGTGCTGGGAACAGCGTGGTCCTGGGATGTGCCAAGGGCACCAGGCTCGGAGAGGACAGGTCCACCAGGGTTAGCACCAGACTTGCTAAGCTCGTGCCAACTAGGAAGAAAGAAGCTCAGTGAACAAATCCACAGAAATGGCTGGCGGTCAGCTCGCTCAGGAGAGCATGGTCCTGCTAGCACCAAGGGCACAGGTTCAATCCCCATACCGGTTGGCCACCGAAAAAACAAACCCCACGGAAATGGGGAAAGGGGAAAAACCACCACCTCGTTAGTGCATTGAGACCTGATCACTCAGGCTGAGGCAAAACTAACTGCTCAGAACATCTTTGCCTTGTGAATAGTATGAATAAGGAATATGAACAGGAGTGTGTGGAAGGAGGTTTCTTAACACAGCAGGAGCAGTGGGCAGGGCCGAGGGCACTTAGTGTAAAGTGTCGCTGGCTTGCCCTCACCGCGGCCTGAAACCTCAGCCTCGGCAAGTGCACAGAGCAGCTCCTCATCCGGTCCCGTTTGTTTTGGTTGAAGTGCTCCTTGTAGAGCTCAGTCTTGTCAGCCCCAAGAGCTCAGCCCCTGTCCTGAAGTTCGCTGTGTAAGAGGTAAGTTCAAAGGTCATAGCAAAGATTCAAGGTAGGGTGGAGAACAAAGGACCCCATGGGCCAAGGTTTCAAAAAAATCACTAGTCTAGGGCCGGCCCGGTGGCGCACTGCTGCAGTGCGCCGCTTGGGAAGCACGGCGGCGCTCCCGCCGAGGGTTCGGATCCCGCATACAGACCGGCCGCTCACTGGCTGAGCAAGGAGCAGGGGCAACACCGAGGGTTGCGATCCCATTGCCAGTCCCGGTCCCGTACGGGCGCGACACTGAGGGTTGCGATCCGTTGCCGGTCACGAAAAAAGACAAAAAGACAAAAAAAAAAAAAAATCACTAGTCTAAGGACACAGAAATATTTAGTAAAAGTAAAGAAATCTCTGGTATTCAGGGGAGGTGGGGTCAGCAAGGGCCACCCAGGGCCTTCCCTGAATTGGAAACCCAGTTTTCAGCTAGGTGGTGGGGACCTGTTTATTATTTAAGACAAATAAAAAGGGCCACATTTCGTGAAGAAATTTTTCTTTATGCTTGTCAACGTGAGTCCCTGGCCCCGCACGTGGCTGGCCTTAGGACTTCCTGATCTAAATTGGCTCACCTGGGATTAGGCCACATACTGCCTCTTCCTTTTATTTTTTTCAGGCTCCACAAGTAGAAGTTCCAGTTTTCTCTTGGAGAGTGAGAGTTTGGGCCCCTTGTCTCTCTCGCTCCCGAGCCTGGGTGGCGGCCGTGTCCCCCTGGCTCTGTTCAGCATGTGTCTGCCATTCTCAGAGGGCTCCCCGGTCGTGAGGAGGTGTTTGGCTGCCCTGGGCTCCCAGTCCTCCTCCGTGATTCTTGAGTCCTCGGGCTGCATGTCCACGTCGCTGGCCTCCAGGGGGGTGGGGTCCCAGCCAGTGGCTCTCTTGATGGGGTCTGGAGTTTTCAATGAGAAATAGTCTTCTAAATTCACTTCTTCTGGACTCTTCCACTTCAGTGCATAGGAAGCCACGTTACAGTTCATATCACCCAGAGGGCAGGTGTTGAAACTGAAGCTGGAACGACAGAGGATATCTTCTGAATCGCCATTGTAAGGATCTAAAAACTGATGACAAACATGGTTCTGAGCCCATTAGCAATTCCAGACATGAGAAAAAGTACAACACTCAAATGCACAAATTATTTGTCCATCATTGATACTGGCAAGTTTTGCAGGCTGCCTTGCAAGTGAATTTTAAAAATGCTTTAGATCAATATTCCATAGCACCCATGAGTCCACCATCGCAGGGGCCTAGCTTGAGCCTTGTTGAAAAGCCCAAGACCCAGCACTGGGCACAGACCTGGCAGACTTTGCCCAAACCAGCCCTGCCACCAACAGTGGGCCCAAGCTCATCGCACCTCTTAACATCTCCTCCAAAGACAAGGTGCTATTTTCCTGCTGAAGGACAAAGCAACCCCCTGAGTCCTGCTCCCTCCACCTGCCTGGCTCCCTGAGAGCTGTGCATATGCACCCCTTGCTGCCAGCTGCCTGAGTCAGGGCCTGCAGGGCACATTCTGTGCAGCCCCCACCCCTCGCAGAGGGCTGGCTGGCCAACGTGGCTGGAAAATAGCTAAGAGAATTTAAATTCAAATGCTGTCTTCAAAGATGCCCATGGGCCATTCTAGAAGGCAACATGCCTGAGAAGCAGCAGCAAATCATACAACCCCTCAGGGCCACTAAACTCCTGTTTCCACTATGACCACTGGTCAAAGGGGGCTTTGAGGAGCTTTCTGGATGCCCAGAAACACCCCTCTTTACCCTTACCTTTCACGCCAGAGTTTCCTAGTTCTCAGTCTTCCTTTCCTTTTTTTTTTTTTCCTTTTTGTCTTTTTTCGTGACCGGTAACGGGATCGCAACCCTCGGTGTCGCGCCCGCACCGCGCTCAACCAGTGAGCGGACCGGTCTCTATATGGGATCCGAACCCTCGGCGGGAGCACCACCGCACTCCCAAGCGCCACACTCTACCGAGTGCGCCACTGGGCCGGCCCATCAGTCTTCCTTTCTTTTGCTTCCTGCATCAGTGTTCCTGACAGAGTGGCTCTAGCAGTAAAGGTTTCCAGAGAAAGCTAAGTCCCCTGGGACGATCTGAACAGTTGGTACATAAACATCATTCCCTGAACTAAAAAGCAGGCAAGCTGCACTTTTATGGGCTTCCAATGCTATGTGGAAATGTCCTTCTAGATATGCTAAGAGGTCCCCTGGTGAAGACGGCTAAACGATTAGGTTGATCAGTGTAATAGTTAGCATGTACTAAATACATGCACACCTCCAGTTATTTCACCCCTTGCTTGACACTGTGCTTTTAGTAAAACACATGCATGCAGGCACACACACATGCAGGCACACACACGTGCACACGCAGGCACATGCAGGCACACACAGGCATGCACATGCAAGCACAGTGGAAAAGACACCCCAGGTTGGTCCAGAGCTGAGTTAATGCAGGGACCTCCCATGGTCATTTCTCTCAGGTGGTGAAAACCTCCCCAGAGAGCTCATTTCCTCTTTACACAGCTGTCACTACTTTTTATTTAAAAAAAAAAAAAAAAATGAAAATAAACACCATAGTCTGTGGGCAACTGTAATCATTTCAAATTCAGAAACTGATCAGAATTGCTGGAATTCACAAAGCCAGCCTCCTGTGATCCCACCACAGAGAAGGTAGCACCCCAGAGGCCAGGAGGCCCCAGGGACAAGACTTGGGGTGCAGGGGGAGGTGAGGTGCTCTCAGAGAGCAAATGAACACACAGCGGACAGTACAGTCGGCCCCCACATCTGTGGGTTCCACATCCTCAGACGGAAAATATTAACAATGAAAAACAATATAAATCAATAATCCAGTATAACAACTATTTACATAGTATTAGGAATTTTAAGTAATCTAGAGATGATTTAAACTATATAGGAAGATGTGTATAGATTATATGCAAATACAATGCCATTTATATAAGGGATTTGAACATCCTTGGATTTTGAAATCCTCAGGGGGTCATGGAATCAATCCCTGGTGGATACTGAGGGATGACTTGTAGAGGATGCATAAAGCAAATGTACTTCACAGGGCCTGGTTTTCCAAAACCTTGCAGTTTCAAATATTTACCTTACAAAAAACAGGAAATTTTCCCCAGGCTATTTAGTCTCTCTGGTTAGATAGAGAATTGTAACACAGCAAGGCTGCTGGCTCAAAGACAGACTAGTTACTGATTGATATGTAAAGATACTGGGAAACTGTGGAGGGAGAAGGAATGTTTGCTAAAATCAAGCTTTTGTTAGTGGATCATTTAATTACCTAATAGAATGTCATCTGACTTGTTTTTGCTGAATGTTACAAGCTTCTATTGTTAAACTTGTTAAAACTATGTCTCTTCCTGTAACTTGGTGGTCTGGAGAATAAATGCGGGAAGAGAACCCCAATTCGTGGTTAATTTCCCAAATGGAAGGAATGCCTCATGCTTGAGGGTTCTGGGATATTAACCCCTTTCTGGGGCATCTCACTGCTCAGAAGAGATGGGCTTTGAGTAATCTTTGGTGGCTCTGTCACCCAGGGGAAAAGGGGTGACAAATCGATGGGAGGCAAAGCAACAATGACTATACTTACAAAAGAGGTGCCAGGCTGGGGCATTGATTCACTACATTTTACTGAATGATTTAACAGCATGTAGAACCTGCTCTTCAGCATTACTTGGTATATCTTACGACACCATGAGACCAGGTGTTAACAACACCTGAATTAATTACTGGGCTTGGTTTTAATCTTGATTGAGATTCATTTTGAGACTAATTGCAGGCACACACACATTCTTATTTAAACAAAATTTGAAAGAGAAAATACAATTTAAATATCAAAGTGAAGTTTTTTCTGAAACATAGTAGGGCCACTGTGCAGAAGAGTTCACACAGCAGCCCAAGACTGCCTCTCCTTACAAAGGTCTGCTGGCAAGACCCTCTGGGGGCATCTGGGAACATGGATTTGGGGAGGCCCCACCGTTCCCTAACTGAAAATCTGGCTGCTGGCTCATTCTGTAACACCTCTCTCCAGATACTTTCAGCAAAGTTCATGTGATTCCTTTTGTGAATGACCTGGAAAAACCAGGCTGGGATGCTCCTTTCTATCAAGGTTGGCAGACAACAGCTTAGTATTCAGGGGACTTGGGTGCCCACAGCCTACGCCAGCAGTCCCTGCCATGCCAGACTGTCAAGGACAGTAGCCACGGCAGGATGTGGGCAGACATCTCTCAGGAACCTGAGCAGAGGTGCAGGCCCCCTTGGAGGGTTTGGTTCAAGGGATTAAAATGCAAACCTGGGCAGCTGCAAAGAGGAAAAGTAGAACCAGGAATACAGTGAGGAGACAGACTTAGCGGCTGCGTATGCTCACTCTCACATTGAGAGGAGACAACATGACCTATGGCTTCCACAGAGCACCCTGGCACTTGTTCTGGACCCCAAGTCAGAAGATCAGGGAAGACACTAGATCCTGTCTCCCACCACCCACCCCCTCCAGAGATGCAGGAGCCAAGGCCCAGAGAGGTCCCAGGCCTTGCTCAGAGTCCCTTGGAAGAACTCGGGTTTGGTGTTGGGTATTCTAGAATACTCCCTGCTAACCCCAGGCTCCCCAGGAGAGCAACTGTTTTGTTTTGTCTTAATCAAACAACACTTAAAGCAGTGGAATGTGAACACCTTTAGTTTTTGGAAGAGAAAAAGGTTCTTTACAGGCAAGCCAAAATCCACTGAGATGAACAATTCCAGGGAGGGGGTTCCTGGCCTGGACCCCCTGGTCAGCTCAGGGCTGCTGCTCCCTCCACCTGTCCCCACCCTGCCCCCATGTCCACAAGGAGGAGGGAGTGGCAGCGGGACAGCACCTTGAAGCGATGATGGCGCGCGGTCCTCTGCCTCCGGCGGAAGCTGGCCCGGGTGCTGGCCGCGCCCAACGCCACCCTGATGCAGCTGGCCCGGCTGAGCCTCGGGCCGGCCATGCTTGCCCTGCAGGCTTCTCACTTAACTGGAAAACATCAAGTTCACAGCGACAAGCACGGATCAGTGGTTGCCAGTGGGAGGGGAGGGTCCAGAGTGTGTGTGTGTGTGTCAAAACCCAGAGCAGGTGCCAGGAGGGGGGAACCTCACTGTAACTAAGTTACACCTCAGTAAGGTCAATCTAGGGAGTTTTCCGAACATTTTTTTTAGTTGGAAGAAAACCCACAGGCAGCTGGTGGCCGCGCAGTGCAGCCCACGCATCAGTACTGCAGCTCGAGGAGGCTCCTTTGCACGTGCTCCCTGCAAAGAACCTCACCTGAAAACGCCACACAAATGCATTGACACTTGAAGTCCCGGAATGTTAGAGCTTGGCGGGGACTCGGAGGCCACCCTTCCAGTTCAGATGAGCCCCCACGCCCTTTTGTTTTTTAACTGATGAAGACATTTAAGTGCAATCTGGGGAACCAGCTTATCCACGATGACACAAAAACTCAGAGGGCTTTTCTTAAGGGTGAGTTTGTTCACAACAAAACAAAATTCACAAAAGCCCATATACCTGAAAAAGAACAAAGAACAGCCGCTCTGATTTAAAAAAAGAAAAAAAGAAAGAAAACACTAAGAGAACCAGGGATTGCAGACCTCTGGCGTTTCATGTCACTTGCTTCCTTTAAGAATCTTGAGGGACGGCAACTGCTAAACCCTGTTGGAAGGTCTGGTCGTTACAAATGTGCCAACGCACACCACAGGGCACAGGCTGGTCGCTGATCAACCCAGGTGTTCCCGAAGTGGGATCCTGGGAACCCAGTTCTGATGCCTATAAAGCAAAGGTTTGGCAAAGCAGCAAATGCTACGACCCAGACCCTGTGGCTTCTCTGTGACGTGCACAACACTCACTGCCATTGTACAGGCTGGAAAGGCTCCCAGTGAAAACCAAAATCTGCCTTTTTGGGGTTTTTTGGGGGTTCTTTTTGGGTTTTTTTAGTATTACTGAAGTGCGTACTCTCTTCAGACTTCATTAGTCATCACCTACTGTCTTTTTTACTGTCCCAGGGTCCCATCCAGGACACCACATCACATTCAGTCACCGCGTCTCCTTCACCTTCTCTGGGCTGTGACAGTTTCTTACGCTCGCTTTGATTCTGGTGACCTTGACACTTTGGAGGAGCACTGGCTGAGTATTTCGTAAGATATCCCTCAAATGGAACTGGACTGTTTTCCTCATGGATAAACGGGGGTTTGGGGTTTGGGGGAGACCCCAGAGGAGAAGTGCCACTTCCCCACATCACGTCAAGGGCTCACACTGTCAACACGACGTACGGTATCAGTTGATGGGACTTCGATCCCCTGGCTGAGGCAGTTTGTCCCTTTGAGGCAGATGAACCTACATCAGTTCTCAGCATGGGAGATTTTTGTTCCTTTGCATTTACTTATTTATTCAATCATTCCTTTGTATCAATAGGAACTCGCTTTTTCCTGCATTGGGCTCTCATCTGATGCTACATTATTTTGCTCCAGCTTTGGCTGGAACTTGTTCAGTTGGCTCCTGCGTCCCTTTGACACACCCCAACCTACTTAAATTTGATCTTCAAAGGAACGCACCCCTTGAGTTGCCTTAGCTCCCTCTCTAGGCTGAGTCTGGATAAAAGTACCGAGAAAGTGAAATGACAGCAAGGAGAGGAGCCTGATCACCCCCGTCGTCCTCGCTTCCCCAGGCTGCACCGTCCCCAGCTGCACTCCAGGGGCAAGGGTCAGCACAGACCCATGTTTTCCAGACCAGGTGGTTGGCACCAGGTTAGAGCTGATTATAGATACAGTACTTTGCAATCAAAAGGCATTTCATGCACACGGTTAAAAAAAAAAAACTATTAAATGATCTACAGTAGTTTTGTGAGGTCCCCAGCCCCCACCATTAGCCGCCTGGCTGTCCTCCAGGAGCGTGCCAGGCCGAAGCGCCACACGCCAGCACCTGTGCAAACATTCCACCACAAGCACTGCGCACCGGGAGGCGGAGATCCACTTTGTAAACGCTTTGCAAATGGATATATGACCCGAAGGGCACTTGGCCCATCCTCTGTGCGCCCTCTCAGTGCTCCTCCAGGGGCAGCCACCGAACACCAGGCCCTGGAGCCACACTGGACTTCACCAGGAACTAGTCCTGCGTCAAACCTCCACCCTCACCAGTCGTGTGGTTTGGGGACATGAACAAAATGACATGGCTCAGGCTCCAACGTTGTTTTTGATGCCTAGTAGGAATTCAATTAATGGATGTGATGATGGGGAAACGGAGGCTAAGAAGGCTGGGTTTGCCCAGAGGCACAGAGTCCGGATCAGAATCCCTCCCTAGCACTCTGCCCCCTCCCCAGCCTCCACACACCCACCCCAAGGTACCTCTCCCATCCCCCACCGCCCCACCAGCACCCTGGAAGGTTGGAAGAGAAGCCCTTGTCATGCAGATTTACTGGATAATTCTTTGAAATCAACCCTATTATTATTGAAGTCACCTGGTTACCCACAAACCCCTGTCATTCTTCCTGGTCACTCTTGCACTTTCCTAGCTGAGGTCAACTAAGCCAAGAGGAGGCCCAAGGAGGACAGCCCCTTCCTCACCCGCACTCCCACCCTCTCGCCTCCACCCTGTGGAAGTGGCTTTCGGGCCCCAGACTCCCATCTGGCCCTGGGGCTGAGGCCACCAGTCACCTAAGTGACAAATCCAGCCTGTGCTTTATACCCCCCTTCCCGCCCCTGCTCCTGCATCTTGGCGTCTCTCCAGCTGCGGGGCGAACCCAGCCACCCAGCCTGGCAGCTGATGACCCGCTGCGCGCTTAGCCCGTGGGGCTGTCCTGGCTCTGTCTAGAAAGGCCCCCGGGCTGGCCGGTGGCTCAGTAGGTCGGAGCATCAAGGTCCAGGGTTCGATCCCTGGACTGGCCAGCAGCCAAAAAAAAAAAAAAAAAAGAATTAAGTAAAAATGAAAAAGCTCCTCTTTAGAAGACGATCACAGGGCGCGAGCGGGCAATGAAACTGGACCCGCGGCGACCTGACAGTCCTAGGAGCTCGCTGTGACAGTCTGTCCTGTTGTATGTTTGAAAATTGTCTCCTGAAAAGTTTAGAACATTAGGCTGTCTGTCCCCACAGCCACCAAATCTCCACCTTCAGGCAAGTCCTGTCTACGAAGCTCCAACCCAGTGGACCCACAGCCCACCAGGCACCTGCCAGGCTCTGCAGGTGACCAGGGCGGTGGCTGTCTCTGAGTTCCGTGCCCGGCCCCGCAGCCTGGCCTGTCCCAGGGCCCTCCCAGCCCGGGGTCATCATGCGGCTCTGGCTGGAAACTTCACGGCACCCCAACTCCGCTCGCCTCCGAACCCCACACCTCCATGGCTGGCGGACACTGACTCTGCCTCCTTGTGTGTCCGGGGTTTGGCCACCCCCGCGTCCCACCTCCGTCTCCTGCCACACCCTGCTGCCCTGACCCCGCCTCGGCCCAGAGCCACAGCCCTGCTGTCCCCAGCCACACCCGAGGCCCCGTGCACTGGCGCCCGCACTCGCACACACACACACTGTCACACACTGTCACAGACACACATCCACTGTCTCACTCACGCCCCCACTCACACTCCCAGACACGTGCATGCCCTCCTGGGTCATCACTCTCTGACATGCTCTGCGTCTCCCTCCTCTGGCATGGTTGTCATCAGTCCCTTTCAAC